TTTGAAGACCAACAATTCCCAAGCATTATTGGATGAAGATGCGTGTTAAACTCAAAAACAACTTGCAGAAAGGTTAAATGTTGCTTAGCAAACAATTTCTCATTGTTTACAAGCAAAGGGAAAGATTTTAAAGGAAGGAAAATGGGTGTCACATCAACTGAACGAAAGACAAATAAATGGAAAACTGAAAAGTCATCAGTAAAATGTTGCTTCAACGGCACAAAATAAAGTCTTTGCATTGAATGTGACTGGCGATGAAAAGTGGATTTATTTTGAGAATCCCAAATGCTCAAAATCATGGGCTGATCCAGGTCAACCATCAACATCAGCTGCAAGGCCAAAGTGCTTCAGAAAGAAGACAATGCTCTGCTTTTGGTGGAATCAGGAAGATGTGGTATATTATGGGCTTTTAAAACCTGGTGAAACCATTAATACTGATGACTACTGACAACAAATAATCAATTTGAACCATGCTTTGATCGTGAAATGACTAGAATGGGCCAGAAGACAGGGCAAAGTAATTTTGCTTCATGATGACACACCATCACACACTTCAAAACCCGTTAAAGACACATTAAAAGATCTTGCCTGGGCCCTGGCCGATTTGGCTCAAATGGATAGAGCGTTGGCCTGCAGACTGAGGGTTCCAGGTTTGAAACATCTCTCATTGATGTTTCTAACTCTATCCCTGTCCCTCTCCATTCCTCTCTGTATATTTAAAATATATTTAAAATAAAAAAAATTTTTTTTTAAAAAAGATCTTGCCTGGGAAGTATTAATCTACTCGCTGTATTCACCAGACTTTGCTCATTCAGATGACCACTTGTTCCAATCAATGGCACACGCACTTTCTGAGCAGCACTTCAAAACGTACAAAGAAGCAGAAAATTGGGTCTCTGAATGGTTTGCCTCAAAACAGCAAAGTTCTATTGGGACGGTATCCACACATTACCTGAAAGGTGGGGGAAATGTGTAGCTAGTGTTGGACATTAATTTGAATAAAGCACTTTTGATACCTCTCTTGAAATCGTGTTTTCGCTGATTACAAAATCTGCCATTATTAACCGGTACACCTAGTACATAACTATTTTAATAGAAATTGCTTTTAAAGGCTTTTTTTGTTGTTGTTGTTCTTCAAGCATAAGTTTTCTCCTTTGTTAGCTCAACAGATACAACCATGGACACATACCAAAAAAACATAGAACTTGGAAGAAACTTCAAGATTAACTCTAACTGAACACTCTCATTTTATAGATCAACAAACCATGGCCCCAGAAAGGGAAGGATTTACTCAAGATCATGGGGAAGAGTGGGATGACAGCCCTGACTTTATGTAGAGCCCTTTCCAGAGGCAGGCAGGAGACAGCCTGCCTGGCCACAGCCTGGGCTTCTTCTCCAGCTCCTCCTAGTTCAGTTTGCTCTGTTGGTGGGAGAGGGTCACCGGGTACAAGTCACCCAAGTCTGGCCTAGAAACCAAGGTGCCTGACAGGCCCATCTATTATAGTCAATTTTCCAAAAGGCATTAACAAACAAAAGAGCCAGCACAAAGCAGCAGTTACAGCTGGCTACCTCCTACTGAACAGCAGGCTCATCACCCTGCAGTTGTTTGGGGAAGAAGGTTGTGTGCTGCCTCCCAGGGAGCCTGTCCATTTCCTCTGAGGTGCAGACTGCCATGTCAAAGCTGCCCAGCTCACTCACAGCCTAGGTGGGTGTCACCAGGCTTTTCAAACTCAGGCGATTTTCGGGGGCTCCTGTGAAACCTACCACTTAGCCTTCATATTAGCTCTGGAGGATGATCTGCAGCCAAGGTCTATGTAAGGCTTTTCCTTGGACCCAGCTAACAAGATCTGGCTCCTGAGTGCCTCACACACTCCAATTTGGGAATGACAAATAAATCATAAATGTCTAGGAGCCCTTGCTTTCACCATTGTATGAAGAGCAAATGACAGGAAGCTTTACATTAAAAGTGCAATTTGCTCGCAACCCTCTTAAACCACCCACTCTAATTCAGATGATCAGACACGAGTTTGCCAAGGAGATCACTAAGGGAACAACCCACACTGTCCCCCTGCCTCAATCTCCCCGTTCCATCCCAACTATACACTGCTCACCATAGCAAGTGAACTAAAGGCACAGCTTTGGTCCGACCATCCTTCCCCCACCCGCGTTTTAACTTCAGTAACTCTACTATGTACATAGACAGGAGTGCTAACTTCTTGGCCAAATATGGCTCTTCACAGTTTGGTAACAAATGACATCCAAGACACAGACAAGGATTCTTCCAGCTGTGCCTGGGCCATGTACATCCTGTATTTCTGCCTCCACTGCCATAACCCTGAAGCTCAGTTCTTCTCTGAGGTCTACTTTGCACTCCAGACCAGGATTGGGGGCCCAGCATCCTTGCCTTTGGCATTCAGCCACAAAAGGGGCAATCGTAATATGATTTGATACAGGTCTTGCTGCCCAAAGTGGAAGTAAGAAGGTTTCCTAACAGTTTCTCTGCAGATGAAATTTTAGATCTTTACCTTCTTTCCTATCTGGTATCATCAGGTGGGGGCAATTTTGTCCCATAGGAAAATTTACAATATCTGGAGACATTTTTGGTAACCACAACTGGGGGAGGGCAGCCCCACAACAAAAGATTATCCAGTACCGTAAGTTATACGTTAAGGCTGAGAAATCTTGTATTAGAGTAATTAACAAATAGCAAAACCGACTCAACCAGTTCATTTCTATTGGTGATGCCAGCAAATAGTGAAATATCTAATATAAGTGCTGAAGACAGGAAAAAGATTTACTGAGAGCCTGAATAACCATAAATTGACACAATCAAAGGGAGTCACTTACTCCTACTTTGGATTCATCCAGAAATACACCACATGGCAGTCTGGCAGCCCCCAGTGCTGCAGAGTAGCAGAAGACTTGGCACTCATTGCTCTCTACTGATGACCTCCAATTATGGCCTGAGCACCTCCCTGTCTAGCCCTGACCTAGCAGTGGGGGCCAAAAGAAGTGACAAACTGGCTGTCCTCACATGGATGTAAGAGAGAAACATCAGTGGGTTATCTCCATACACATCCTAGTCTAATGGTAACATACAGAACTAAAGAAGCAATTATGAATTTTCGTTCTTGGCAAGGCTGATATAACTTCCACTATCCTTCAAAATTCCTTCACCCTGGCCTGTGGGGATCAGTTATCCGAGCACCAGACGATGGATGGTTCAATTCTCAGTCAGAGCACATACCTGGATTGTGGGCTCCATCCCCAGGCAGGGTGTGTATGGAGATAACCCACTGATGTTTCTCTCTCACAACAATGTTCTCTCTCCTCCCCCTTTCTTTTTCTAAAATCAATTTTTCAAAAACCTCCTGGGAAGGGAGAAAACAATAAAATGGAAAATAAAGCAGTGGCAGTTATGGTGCCAATTATAATCTATATCACGCCCAGCCAGTGTGGTCCAGTGGTTGAGCATTGATTTATGAACCTGGAGGTCACAGTTTGATTTGTGGTTGGGGCATGTGCCCGGGTTGCCGGCTAGATCCCCAGTGGGGGTATGGGTGGCAGCCAATCAATGATTCCCTTTCATCATTGATGTTTCTATCTCTCTCACGCTCTCCCTTCCTCTCTGAAATCAATAAAAATATATTTTTAAAACTCTATATTGCTATTGCAACCCCGGAGATCAGCTCCTGGGTTTGTACCAGCTGGACTTATGAAGCTTATAAATAATTAAAAGGCAACTGAAAGGGAAGATCAAAGTATTAAGTGGATTTCTCCCTCTCAGGGCAACCAGGGTGTTTCACTGCTGCTAGTCACGTTATCTTTTAGGACTATTCTTGTTTCTCACTGACACAGGCAGCTCCAGACAACAGTTGGAGGAGTAAACTATGAGGACTGCTTCAAGTGTTTTGGTATGCATGGAGATGGGGGACACACACCAATCATCAAACTTTTGATTATCTTTTGTGAACAAAGAAATGACAAAGTATGTAATAGGCATGCTACTAAGAAGGTAATTCGGATGGAAGGGGAAGGAGAAGACAAGACAGGGTGATAAGGGTGAATGGAGATGGAATGAGGGAGAGAATATTTAGAATATTTACCAGTTTGGGCTGCCATTATAGCTCACTCTTGGATAAGAGGAACATTTCATTCCCAGATCTCAATGAAGGAGCTGACACAAAAATCACGGGATGCATAATCATAGGGAAGAGGCTAGTGGGAGTAGCATTCCTCCCATGGCTTTGTCCTGGGGAGCTAACCAGGTTGCTGAGAACCTTTTCCTAGAGAGGCTGGGGTTCTGGCCATGTTTCCTGAGGGCTGTCCCAACTGGTGAACCCATTGCTATGAAAAGCTATAAAGACAGGAGGTTGAGTCACTGGGCTCAAGACTCAGTCATGCCATGATCCATAGTGAGTGGATGGGGGTAGGTGACGGAGAGTGAAATGAGAGAAGTGAGAAGGTGTAATCAAGCAGACACCTATGTACCTACAGTTAAACTGCAGGAATGCCCCCACCAAGCCAGTGGATGTAAAAATCAAAGAGCTAATGGGTTAGAAAAAGAGTTAGCTTGTCCTTTTCACGGGTCATTTCCAACCCTCTCAAAAAATCCTGAGGGGCCTCTATTATCTCATTGGCCTTTTTCAGTCTCTCTAAGGCTAGATGTATCACCAGGAAGCCTCACATACTAGTTTAAGTGATAAGAAAAAAGTATATTTAAATTTGAAATGACTCCAGAGACAAGTTAATCAGAAGAGTAGCAAAAATAAGACAGGATCAAGCCTGAATAATCAGTCCCTTTATTTTCTGCAAGGCCCTCTCTGCCCTCTTCAATCTGGTGGTCAATTGTTCAGCTAAGTTCGTAACCAATCAGCGGTAAATGCCTTGTCTTCCTGAGCTGACTCTGGCACTCTGTGGGGAGGAGTTAAGCCAAAGTGTAAATTGCACACGGTAGGCACTCAATAAATATTAACAGAATTGAAATAATGCACACTCACCCCTCTTCTGCATAAAGATGAAGAGGTCATCCAGGAATTCTTTCCTTTCCGGATCACCATCCAGTTCATACAGCTGCAATCCCAGTCCCCCCACCCCCCAAAAAAAACACACAATGAAAAAAATTCATCTTATGCAGGAAGCCTTATACCAGAGATACACAACCATCTGAATGACTACAAATATGACTCATGGGCCATGCCTATCCTATTCTTTGGGGATCAGATACAACAACCCACTGCCCTTTTGTTATCACAAAGGAAACAATACAGACCTTGGCAAAATCTCGAGAGATCTCTCTTCCTCGGCCTCCATCTGCATCATCACTCCAAGCCAAACCACCATTCTAAAGGGGAACAAAGCACAGAATTCAGAATGAGTAGGAAGAGAGCATTAGAAAACAAGGCAATTGTTTAGGAAGAAGATAAAGAGCATTAGCAATTGTGCTATCCTTGCTTACACTGTTCAGGTATATATAGGGAGAGCTTGTTGTTTTTATTTCCAATTATGGTTCCAAAATGAGTGGAAAATAGGTGGAAGAATCATCTCCATTTGTTGAAGGAGGGTGGGCATTACTTATACCTAAGAATTCTGGAAGAGAGGGACACAAAGACCCAATTTCCTGCTCCTGTTTAGTCAATCTTCCAAAAGAAGCCACCACTCTAAGATGTACCACTTTTCTGCAGTTTCTTTATGGTATACTAGTGTCCCAATGCATGGATTCGTGCACATTGAAAGGAAGTTAATTAGAAGAAACATTTTAATGTTGCTATTTGCCCTTTCTCTATAATAGAAATGTCAACCAAATTCACGATAGGTGCCAGTGAGAGCATAATATGTATCGCACTTGCACAAGTCAACTTAGCTTTTTATATATATACACTAGAGGCTTGGTGCACAAAATTTATGTACTGGGGTTGGGGAGGCCTCAGCCTAATCTGTGCCCTCTTATAGTCCAGGACCCCCTAGGGATCAGGCCTAAACTGCAACTCAGACATCCCTCTGCAAGAGGCTGTCTGCCTACCTGATCACCCCTAACCATTCTGCCTGCCTGCCTGATTGCCCCTAGCCACTTGCTTGGGAGTGGAGCCAGCCCTGCAAGGGGCCATCTGCTTACCTGATCACTCCTAACCACTGGTCTACCTACCTAATCACCCCTAACCCCTCTGCCTGCCTGATTGCCCCTTACCACTTGCTTGGGGGCAGGGCCAGCACTGACTTCTGGTTGGTCAGCCTCCGATTGTTACTGGTCATTACTCAGGGTTTTTATATATGAGGATGTGTTTGTACATTTTATATAATGTTGTAAAGATAGCTAGTCTGGCTTTCCATACAACACTCTAAGTGGGGGTTAAAGGGTCAAAGGCAGTAGGCCACAGATACCACAGTTGTAGTATCTTAGGCAAGCCTCACTACTAGAAGCCCTAAGTCTAATAATGAGAACTCCCTAGTGATTTAAGGATCTCCAGGGCCTGAAATTATTCCCAAGGTATAGAGATCCTATGCCACGTGGTTGATACAGTTCATTTTCTTTTTTAAATATATTTTTATTGATTTCCAGAGAGAAAGGGAGAGGGAGAAACATCAATGATGAGAATCATTGATTGGCTACCTCCTGCATGCCCCCTACCAGGGATCAAGCTCGCAACCCAGTATGTGCCCCTGACCAGAATTGAACCAAGGACCCTTCAGTCCACAGGCCAATGCTCTATCTATTGAACCAAACCGGCTAGGGCGGTTGATGTTAATTTTCTTTTCTTTTTTTTAAAAATATATTTTATTGATATTGTACAGAGAGGAAGGGAGAGAGATAGAGAGTTAGAAACATCGATGAGAGAGAGTCATTGATCAGCTGCCTCTTGCACACCCCCTACTGGGGATATGCCTGCAACCAAGGTACATGCCCTTGACCGGAATCGAACCCGGGACCCTTTAGTCCCCAAGCCGACACTCTATCCATTGAGCCAAACCGGTCTCGGCATGATGTTAATTTTCATTAGAGAAATAGCAAAAACCTAATTATGATTCAATTGATTAGGTTAAATACTACTCAAAAGAAGGAAGAAAACTGCAAGTATAAATATGCCTTTGTTTATGTTCTTAAAATCTGCTTCTTTGCCTTATTCAGTTGAGTAACACTTATTCCTCAAATCAGGAATTGTTTTATATGTGCAGCCTCCTCTTCACCACAAGCTGTTCTAAGTACACTGGAAACAATCTGTACATTTTGAACTCAGAAATTAACACATTATAATTTTGAAACTATTCTATCTAATAAAATATACAAATTAACCATCACTCTGCCACACTCACCAGCCAATCAAGAGTAAGTATGCAAATTGGCCCAACCAAAAGGGCGGTGGGCCTCTAGTCCTATATAATAAAAGGGTAATATGCAAATTGACCGAACAGCAGAAAAACCAGTCACTAGGATGCACACTTACCACCAGGGGGCAGATGCTCAATGCAGGAGCTTCCCCCTGGTGGTCAGTGCACTCCCACAGGGGGGAATCGCCACTCAGCCACAAGCTGGGCTGATGGCTGGCGAGCACAGCAGTGGTGGCTGGAGCCTTTCCCCGCCTCTGTGGCAGCTCTGAGGATGTCTGACTGCAGTTTAAAAGCCATCAGTCAGATATCCCCTGAGGGCTCCTGGACTGCTAAAGAGAGCAGGCCAGGCTGAGGGACACGCCCTCCTCCCCCCTAGTGTGGGAATGTCTTGCATTGGGCCTCTAATCTGTATTATAAGCTCCTTGAGAGCAAAGGTGTCTTATTCATCTTTGTACTCCAAGCACATAGCACATTGCCTGGCACTTCTTAGGCCCTAGTGAATGCTTGATGAACCACAATCATTGTTAAAAGGCTATTTGAACCAATTGAGCATCTTTTAAAAATATACAAACAAAACACATATACCATATAGGAGATATATAAAATGTCATATGAGCCCTAGCAGATTTGGCTCAGTGGATAGGACATTGACGTGTGGACTGAAAGGTCCCCAGTTCCGTTCTAGTCAAAGTTATGTACCTTGGTTGCAGGCTCCTCCCTAGCCCAGGCCCTGGTTGGGGCACATGCAGGAGGCAACCAATCAATGTGTTTATCTCATATCAATATTTCTCTCTCTTCCCCTCTTTCTTCTACTCTCGCTGAAAAATTCAATGGAAAAATATCCTCGAGTGAGGATTTAAAGGGGGGGGGAGATTAAAAGACTGAATTTTTTTAAAATTAAAAAGTCAGATTAGAAGCCTGCTGTTCACCTCTGACCCAGTTGATGGGTCATTCTCATTTCTTCCCCAGGACCACAGGTGCATGCACTCACACAATGTGCACACGTAGGCAAATGCCACCCAGCTGGCTGGGGTGTTTAAGAGACTGGGGTGGGGCATATGGGAACAGAGAGCAGAGGTTTCTTGGAGGACAGTCTTTGGACTTCATAAGGATCTTGCTGTGAAGCTATGTCAATAAAACTGAAGCCTGGTCAAATTCCATTCTCTCTCTCCTCTCACTTTAATAAAGCTTGCATGAAAGCAAGAGGTCTTATCGATTATATTTGGGGGCCATCCTTTTCTTCTCTTACTCCTAGTGGGATCTGAGGTTTAGACCTGCTTTCTGACAGCAACAATCTAGCAAAAGAGAGGTAAGCATAATCAAGAAGTGATTCTCTGTCAGCTGAAATGAATAGGCTACATGAATTGTTTCCCTGCTGGAAGTGCTCAGGAAATGCTATCTGACTATGCACTCCTCCTGTCCCCAGCAGATACAGTGGAAATCTGCCTGCTGCACCTTCAGCTCAGGGAGTCAGATAATCAAATTGGTGGAACACTATAAATAAAAAAATTTCAAAAGCCAAAACTTACCCCCACATTGTAATTACAGTCAATAGAAATCTGGCGGCAACTAGGATAATGAGTAATCAAGATGAATGATGTCTGTCAGGTCAGCAAAACCAGACACAGTCCTCCTTACAAAGGATGTAGCAGCTTTCCTAATGCCCAGTGATTCCGTTTGAGCCAGAAATTCCTGCTGGAAAGTCAATTATCCTGGGAGCTCCCATAGGCTGAAAGACATTTACTTAACCCATGATCACTGCCGCTTCTGTTATGTCAGCTGCTTACTGTGGCAGCTGAATTCCCAACTCCCTCTCTAGCTGGAGATCTGAAGCCAGTTCTTCACAGGATTCTTTATCAGAAGAGATGAAAACACAGGGTTGGTTTTTGTTTTTTGGTTTCTTTTTTTTTTTTTTTTCTAATTACAGTAACTTCCAGCACTGTGAATACTCACTCAGAAACTATATAACACTTAGTTAGGTGGAGAGGATGGAATCCACAACCCAGAATCTCAGGGTTTTCCAAAGGAGGAGACGGTAGAAGCAGGCAGGCCAGTCCAACAGCCATGTGCCTAGTATGACAATAAACACCTAAGTGTGAGAGCTCTCCATTCTAGGAACAGAAGAGAATGCCTTATAGGATGGGAGTTGGGGGCCACTTGCTTCAGCTCTGCCTACTAAGTGTGAACCACTTAGTTTAAAAACCTGCTTAGTGATGGGATTTTAGTCTGAAATGCCCCTATCTCCATGACCAGAAAGGACAAGACCTGCCCAAACAGAAGAAATGAATGGCACACTAAACTCTTTCCGCAATCCACTGTTTGACCCATTCTACAGACAGGACAGTTACTATTTAAAGAAATGCAGGGAAAACAGTTGGCCATGAGAGAGGTGTTCCCTGCTGTTCAGTTCCAAAGCCAGGACAGTCCATTACTTAATTTAAAATATTCAGTTGGGCCCATGGCCAATGTGTTGAATGGTTAGAACATTGGGCCACACATTGAAGAGTATCAGGTTGGATTCCTGGCCCAGTCGGGACATGTTGGGGAGGCAACCAATCAATGTCTCTCCTTCTCTCTCCACCCCTCCACCCCTAAAAATCCATGGGGGGCGCGGGGGATTCAGTTGGGGCCGATGGGAAAATGTTTACTCTCTTCAAATTACTCTCTTTGTATTGGAGAAGTTAAACTTCCAACCTGCTTCACATGATTTTCTGGCTGAGGTGAGAGTAATTCCTAAACCCTGCTCACCCTTTACAGTCCAGCTGAAATGCTGTATGAAGCCTCCACCTCTGCCACCAGGCAGAATTAACACTGTTCTCTTCTGGGCTATGTCACTTGGGTTCTGGTTACCTGTGCCCCTGTCTATGTGCCCAGGCTGTAAGTTATCCTGTCCCAGCCCAGCACATAGAAAACATTGGCACAGCTGCTGAAAGACCAGGATGGGCTCCCCCCACCCATGAGGGCACCGTTTTGCTTTCCCTCTTCCTTTCATTGTGAGAATTAGATTTCAGCAATTAT